AACAGTATGTTTTTTTTCCCTTTTCTTTCTTCTTTTTGCTTTTTAACTAAACAACATTAACAACTTGCCCACTAGTCAGAATCGTAATCAGAGTACTTACTAACGTCTAGCCATGGCTCAAACAAAGCATAGAGCGTGACAGTTGACAGCTTGTGTCCTGGACTCAGGTGAGCTTGCCTTGAATCCCAGCTCTGTGACCCCAGCACTCAACTGCCTAACCTCAGTTTCCATTTCCCCATTTGTAAACTGATGATGACAATGTTACCTACATCTCCCAGGACCGTGAGGATTCAGATGAAATAAGGTGTGAAAGTTCACGGCACAGGTGTGGCAGCAGAAAGCACTCAGTCGGTGCTGGTTTTCAATGTTGTAATTTCTAAGGTTGACGGCAGAGGATGGAGACTGGCTCCTAGCGAGCATGCTGTTGGTCTAAAGGGCTTCCTAAAGCGCTCAGGGTCAGAGGGCCTTCCAGGCAGACACTTACTAAGTCAGTGACCTTTAGAATAGAAAACCTCAGGTAAATTGTTTACATACCACTTACGTTATTTTTTCTTTCTCTAACCTACCCTTCATATGTGAAAATGGCATGCTTAGGAACAAGGATCGATTTCCAAAGGTTTTAAAAAAACTATGGCTGGAGCAACAGGAGCTTTTGTCACTGCTGGAGACACTGCATTGGTGCATCCACTTTGGAAAACAGGCGCTATCAGTACATAAAGCTAAAGCCGCACACACCTGCGTATGCTTGAATATGCATCCACCAGACATTCTTGTACACGTGCTCACCCAATGACACTTCTGTTATGTCCCTACTGCAGCAGTCTTGAGAGCCCCAAGATGAAAAGTATCTGAATTTCCACCAATAGTAGAAGGGATAAACTATGGTATATTCACAAATGGGACACATACAGCAACGAGAGTGAAGTCCAACTCAGGGGTGATCTCAAACTAAATGTTGAGCAAAATAAACCATAAACAAAAAAGTACACACTGCATTATAGCATTTACATAAAGTTCAAAACCAGGCAGAACCAGTCTATGGTGAGTGGTTATCCCTGGAGGGGGAAGAGTAATTGGAAAAGGGGCCTCTCGTGGGTCTCTGGGGTGAAGGCAGTGCTGCTTTCTTGTTCTAGATGCTGGTTACAGGAATGGGCCCAACTTGTGAAAATTCAGTGAGCTGTTTACTTCTTGGCATGTTTATATGTTCACATCTTTGCATGTCAATAAAAAGTTAGAAAAATACAAAAATTAGGGTACAAAATTTAAATCAATAATTTTATTGATTACCCTCATTTGTCTAAAAGGGAGTTAATAAGCCACACGTTAACTTAAAATGCTTCCCTGAGATAAAACTGACCATCTTTTCCTATAATGGCACAAACACCTTAACGACACAGAGCACTGCTGGGCAACGCTACCTTTGAACATAAACTCCAAAGGGGCAAATACTCAAGAGGTTTAACTGCGGTCTCCTCGCCACAGTATCTACCAAAGATTTAACTGACTAGCTAGGGATTAAATGACTTTTCATTAAAAAAATATTTAGTGCACTCTTATAACCTGTCAGTCACACAGTATGAAATGCTAGAGCTCATGTTATGAGAAATTTCCTATTGAGGAAATTTGCTACTAGGCTGCCCAGAGGTTAATCTCATTCTCCTCAATGAGGCACATCTATGAATAAGGACACAGGATGGCAGGAGGACAGGCCCTGTGGTCACAGAGACCGACCCATCCCAGTACAACCCCCTGCCTAACAAGAGTCACCGAGAGCCACTTTTCTTAACTTACGATACAGTAGAAAGAAGACGTGGTCCAGCCAAAGATGAGTGGAGCCCACAATAAACTGAGTCTATCTGCAGCATTTTCTCTTTAGATAGACAAGGAGAGTGGGATTTGGGAACATTTTTAGGTGCCCTGGGGTAAGGGCCATCCAAAATTTATTACTTTGTTAGAATCTTGGATATAATAACAATTTTAAAAAACTCAATAAAGAACGTGTTTGATTACTTGTGATACGCTGTCACATATAGGTGTCCAAGCAGCTAGTATATTATAAAGTTACGTTTTATTTGGCTTATTTGGTAGCCATGTTCTACATGTTTCAAGTACAAAGTTAAACTCCATTTCTGACTAATACAAAACAGACAGAACACACTAATGGTCAATAATCTGTACTAACTGTTCACAAGAAAGCATCTATAAATAGGTACATGATGTTTTTATGTGTGTGTGTGTATAAAATAATTATATTTAGTTCTAAGCCTTCACCTGGGACAGTTTTTGGAGCTACTCCACCTTAATGCAACAGTCCTCCGGCCAGTGTCAGCATGAGTTTTGTGAGAACTAAGCACGAACTCAGCAGCTGTCTGGTCCTCACTGGGTCCAGCTCCTGGCCTGGGGGTGTGGGCAACACCGAGGTGAGTATGACGATCCCTGTCCTCAAGGAGCTTCAGTCTAGTAGGGGATGAGACGTACTAGACTGTGAGCTCCTCGAGGGCAGGAAAAGTGTTGGGTTCTCTTGCCCAGTGACCAGCACCAGGCCCAGCTACGTGGTGCTCAGTGTTTGTGGAGCTGACTGGACCGGGATGCGGCCATCTGCGGCCCACAGGGCGGGCGTGGCCAGAGGAAGCAAGAGTTCTGGACAGCCCACGGGCAGAGCAGGGAAAGAGGCTGAGGAAGAACGGGGGGGCG